TGAGGGAGGCTGCAGAGACGACAAAGGACTTCTTGGAGGTTTTAATCATCCAGCGGTTCTTCATCTGCAAAGTATCCGGTAAGGTTTCCAAGGTGACTTCGTTCAGAGGAATGATGTGTTGGGAGCTGTACTTCCTTTTGTTGATCACGATGGTTCCGTACACAAGAAGGTCGTTGAAAAGGAAGAAGATCCGCGGCTTGGCTTTCTTGCGGCATTCTTTGGTCAAAATGCCCTCGCCCAACAGGACTCTTCCTGGCACAGCTAGCGGCTGTCCCGATGCCCCAAAACAGTGCTCTACGGCAGCGATACGCTGGCTGTTAATCTCTGTATTCACCAGGTGGTCCACCATCTCAAACAGTCACCTGGAAGCAGGAAGAAAAACAGAAGAGGTAACTGACAATAATGGCTTCTGTCCTGAATTCGCATTAAACACCCAATGTTTCATATCTGCAGTAGTCAAATTCACAACTGCAAGCTTTTAAAAGAAGAAACTGGCATGCCTAAGTAGTTTGAGACCAAAGTAGTTTGAGACTTCTCTAAGTAGAATTGGTTCGGAACCCAAGATGTTCGGGACCCAAGGAATTCGAGATTTCTCTAAGCAGAATTCGTTCAAAACCCAAGAAGTTCGAGACTTCTCTATATGGTCCCTCCAACTGATTCACTTGAAACGTGGTGCTGGAGGAGACTTTTATGGATACCATGGACTGCCAAAAAGACAAATACGTGGGTTCTAGAGCAAATCAAGCCTGAATTCTTTCTAGAAGAAACTCTCCCTAAAAACTGATGCTATCGTACTTTGATCATTAAAAGACAAGACTCACAGGAAAAGACAATAATACTAAGCAGCAGGAGAAAAGGAAGACCCAACATGAGATGGATTGACTCAATAATGAAAGCCACAGACTTCAGTTTGCAGTATCTGATTGCAGTACCTGCCAAAGACAGGACATTTTGAAGGTCATTAATTCATAGGGTGGCCATAAGTCGGAAGTGACTTGAAAGCACATAATACATGCACATGTCATTCTATTTATTTATTCATTCATAATTTTGATTTGTGAATCATTCTATCCCTGAATACTCAGGGCTCTGAGCGATGAACAACAGAATTAAAACATCAGGATAAAAACACTTCCTTGCCTATTACCCCTTAAAAGATGAACATCCAATGCCTAAACAAATTCTACTGCAATATTAAAATGGTACAGTCCAGGAAGGACCATACCTTATAGTGTTTCTTGACATATGGTGTAGTGGTTAGGAGTGCGGACTCTAATCTGGGAGAACCGGGTTTGATTCCCCAGTCCTCCACATGCAGCTGCTTGGGTTAGTCATAACTTCTTTCAGGGCTGTTCTCTCAAGGGCAGTTCTCAAGAGAGCTCTCTCAGCCCCACCTACCTCACGGGGTGCCTGTTGTGGGGAGGGGAAGGGGATTGTAAGGCGCTCTGAGACTCCTTCGGCTAGTGAAGAGCGGGTTATAAATCCACTTTCTTCTTCTTATCAAATATTCCAATGCAGTTTAGGGCACAGGATCAGAGAGTTTACAAGTGGGAACCCGCAAGGACTTACAGGAGGCTTCTCATTTCCCCCTCTCCCACTATTTCCTCTTTCCCCTTCCTGAAAACCTCCATACTTTGTGGAACTCGAGGTGGCTTACAATGCAGTCCTAAGTAAAGCTGTCTTAAAGCCAGTTTGGTGTAGTGGTTAAGTGCGTGGACTCTAATCTGGGAGAACCAGGGTGGATTCCCCACTCCTTCACTTGCACCTGCTGGATGATCTTGGGCAAGCCATAGCTCTGATAAGAGCTGTTCTTGAAAAAGAGCAGTTTCTGTCAAGAGCTCTCTCAGCCCCGCCTACCTCACAGGGTTTCTGTTGTGGGGAGGGGGAGGGAAAGGAGTTTGTAAGCCGCTCTGAGACACCTTTGGGTAGTGAAGGGCGGGGTATAAATCCAATCTCTTCTCTTAATTTCCTCGTACACCAGGGTGAGCTGAAGTTTACCGAGAACATGCACCCATTCCCATCTACCTTCTCACATGTCCCTAACATATGACTGGTCGTTGGCCAAGGAACAGAAGCTCAGATTCCTAAAGATCAGACAAGGGTTAGGTTCCCTTTCTGCGATGGTTGTGCAACCGAGCATTCTAAAAGACGTTTCTGCACATACAACAGGCCTCCCACTATGAACAACCTTTGCAGGGATTCTGAGGAAATGAAGACAAACGGTTTTACGAACAAAGCTTTGCGTCCAGAGGCACCTTCAAGACCAACAAAGTTTAATTCTAGGTATAAGCTTTTCTGTGCATAAGTGTTCCCTCCAAGCTGAGTTAGTGTAAGCCAGGTCACAGATTTTTTAGCCTCCGGCTCACACATTTTTGTCTTAGCTCGGGAAGGACGGCTCCAAAGCAAACTGATTTATGCCATAGCCAAATTGCTCACTCACAACTTTAATGCCAGTAGCTCAAAAAGTTGAATTTTTGCTTGCAAGACCCCACAGCAGAGAGAGAGAGAGAGAGAGAGAGAGAGAGAGAGAGAGAGAGAGAGAAAGATTGGATTTATACCCCGCCCTTCACTTGGAGTCTCAGAGCGGCTTACAAACTCCTCTCCCTTCCCCTCTCCACAACAGACACCCTGTGAGGTGTGTGGGCCTGAGAGAACTCTGACAGAAACTGCTCTTTTTCAAGGACAGCTGTGCCAGAGCTTGTGACTGACCCAAGGTCACGTCAGCAGGTGCAAGTGGAGGAGTGGGGAATCAAACCCGGTTCTCCCAGTAGAGTCCGCACACTTAACCACTACACCAAACTGGCTTAGAGGGAGCACTGGTGCGCGTGCGCACTTCTTCATATATCTGAATATCATATATATCTGCTGCATTACCAGACAGCGGCACTCCATTCTGATCAATGTACTGACTGTAATATATGCAGCAGAGACCACTGGTTGCAAGGTAATCTATAAAAACTACCACTGGCGGGGGTGGAGGGATGCTGCATAAAAGCCATCTGGGGGAAGAAACAGAACTCTCAGCACCTCTGATCTCAGCGTCCAATTGAAGTTGAAACACAATTGCTGAAACCAGCACACTCCAATTACATATACAGATATTGAAAGAGACGGCTGCAGCCGGCTTTTCATCGTTATTAAAGAGAGGCTGTTTCCCCGAAGGGATCTTGGCGGGAGACTTTTGGTAACCTCATATCACAGAATCCACTGCGGGCTGATTAGTTGCGCCGCACTCTTCCGTCCCCTTTCTCCTTTACAACGTAAATATTTTGAGCGTTGCACACGATGAGATTAATTGCGGCCTGCGGAGCCAGCCGAATACAAAAGACCGAAAAGCCTGGTCCCCAGCAGGATGCGCCGAACGCCCCTCCCAGCCCACAAAGCCGCAGTTGCTTCAAAGCCAACTGTTTTTGGAAGGGCCCAGAGGGATCAGCCCAAAGGGAGCCCAACACCCTCTTTCCAACAGTGATTGTCGGTTGCTTGTAAGGGTCCCACGAGCCCGTCCCCTGTCCTTTCCCCCCTCCGTCTGCTGATGATTTGATTTAATGCATTTCTACACCGCCTTTCTCCCAAGAGGGACACAAAGAGGCTTACTCGGTTCTCCTCTCCCGCATTTTATCCCCACAACAACCCTGTGAGGTAGGTTAGGCTGAGAGAGTGTGACAGGCCCAAGGTCCCCCTGTGAACTTCCATGGCACGAGTGAGGATTTGAACCCAGCTCTCCCAGATACCAGTACAACACTCCTAACCGCTACACCACACTGGCTCTCATTCACATACGGCCACTGAATGTGGAGGTTTCGTTTAGGCATTTCTTTAAAGCGCTTTACTATTCATCCCCCCGCTTTTCAACAGACTGCAAGACTCTTTGGAAAAGGAGATGGGAATTTAAAAAACGACAATAGTTTGCATTCGGTACGCAGAGAGCCTTTTCAGGATTGGGGATCCTCACCGGATGCCATGGTGAAGGGCACTGGAGAATAAATCGGTGCAGTGTAGTTTATGCCAATGATACAATATGCAGTGTAATCCTATGAAAGCCTACTCACAAGTAAGTCCAACTGTGTTAAATCAGATTTACGCCTGGGTAAGAATACATATGATTGCAGCCTTAATTTGGGGACTGGTTTGATAGCGGCAGTGGCTGAGTGGTTAAGACACTGAACTACAGACTGGAAGGCTGGTAGTTCAGCAGTTCAAGACCCGAGTGTGCTGCATGACGGAGTGAGCTCCTGTCTCTGGCCCCGGCTCCTGCTCTCTTGGCTGTTTCCACTAGAGAAAACAGTGTGGGAGGAAAGGCGGGAGCCCCTCCTCCCTGCACCAAACTATTTTTAACGGTGGATTCCCAACAGTATGACGGTGAGAGCCAGGCCTGCCAGATCTGGGTTGGGAAATACCGGGAGACTTTGGAGGTGGAGCCTGGGGGGGGGGATTTGGGGACGGGAGGGACCTCAGTGGGGTGTAATGCCCAAAGTGGCCATTTGCTCCAGTTGAACTGATCCCTATCATCTGGAGATCACTTGTAAAAGTAGAAGATCTCCAGCTACCACCTGGAGGCTGGCAACCAGGGCTTGTTTGTAGAAAAAGCCCAGCAGGAACTCATTAGCATAACAGGCCACACCCAACAGCAGAAACGCATTAGCATATTAGGACACACCCCTGATAGCACAGCTCATTAGCATATTAGGACACACCCCCGTGTTACCAGAAGTGTGGTCATTCAGCCACACCCACCTTTTGCTTCTGTTGACCTTGTTTGTTGTCAAAACCCAGGGCCTTTTTTTGTAGCAGGAACTCCTTTGCATGTTAGGCCACACACCCCTAATGTAGCCAATTCTAATGAGTTTCTGCTGTTGGGTGTGGCCTATTATGCTAATGAGCTCCTACTGGGCATGGCCAACTCAGGAGCCAGCCGGAACTCCGTTCCAGTCCAAAAATAGCCCTGCTGGCAACCCTACGTGTGACAGGCTGGGAAACCCAGGCCCGGCTTGTGTCACGTCACGTGTATCATGTAGTTGCAACCCTCAGTCCTGCCAGGAAGACAGGACTCCACTGGTATCATAACAAAATTAATTCCAGCATAAGCGTTTGTGAGTCAGCGCTCACTTCCGACGACTCGAGAAAATCTTAGGCTTCAGTGCACTCTGTCCAGCCTTTATTTACAGCAAGGGAGAAAGAGAATAAGAAGAAGAGATTGGATTTATACCCCGCCCTTCACTTGGAGTCTCAGAGCAGCTTACAAACTCCTTTCCCTTCCCCTCCCCACAACAGACACCCTGTGAGGTGGGTGGGGCTGAGAGAACTCTGACACAAACTGCTCTTTTTTCAAGGACAGCTGTGCCAGAGCTTGTGACTGACCCAA